CTTTAGTTGGTGATCATTTCCTTTATTCTCATGACCTCAATGTGTGACTCAGGGGTGACATTATAGGGAGAAAGCAGATGTGAGTCATACTTAGGGGTTAAAGGGTTAAAGTGAAAAGGTTAACATCAAAGCATCTCTTAACAGGCGTCTCTTTAAACACTGATCATTGATGAACTTAGGGTGTAAGTTTCTTAAGAAACTGGTGCTGCTTCAGTGGGAGAGTATAACCTTTTGCCCTGACGAAGGGCTAACACTGGAAACATCAGCCTTTAAACTCTTGACAGTGGCCAATTTATATTTTCAACTTAGTTGATAGCACTAAATTACCCCATTAAAGAACTAGTTATGTCTGGTCACTGATGTGGTGTTTTTTAGCAATATTTCCCTCCTTGAGTTGGTAGAATATTCTGCAGCCAGTGTATACATGTACATATATTTACTAGCAGTCAGTTTCATGTTATCAAGTGTCTGACTGTACATTGTCTATAATGACATTCCTTAATCATAAAAATTACAATTGCGTCATTTGTGATTGGTTTAAAAAACTCCTTTTTTCCACTAATTTACTTGCTAAGTTGTTATTGGAGAGTTTGTTATCAAATAGTTCAATAAGCCAATCACATTCAAAGTTGTAGTTTAAATCAACCAATCGCAACCACTAAATAATTTATGTCACCTTTGTTAGTCTTTTAATGCAAATTTTCCCTTTCTTTCATGATCTGGCTATTCTTCTTTTTGCAGAAATTATAATTTTTATAATTAATTGGTAATCATGATAAACAGATCAGACCCCCACTGCATGGGTGTCCAATTTTGTTATCACTCGTATGATTACAGACTGAATTGGACTCCACTTAGTCATATTACCATTACCATCAGACCACTGTTACCCAGCTAATAGCATCATATGAGAACCATCCACCAAATGATACTTCTACACTCAAACCATTTTCTGTTGTCTGTTTATCACATGTAGCTGATAGTAAGTGTGCGTCCCAGTGCTCCACCCCAAAACCAAACCAGTAATTTTCCTGTTCGTGAAGTTCATGATGGTAGCAGCAGAGGAAGTGATTCATTAGAGGATGGCACAAAACAAGTATTGAAGGTGAGTAATTTATGCATAATTATAGTTTGTATTCATCATCATCATCACTATCATCATTAAATTGTCGGCATTATGTTCATTATTGCGTTCTCTGGCATTGTTTAAATTGACAATTCTTTCATGAGCGACACTTCAAATTGAACTCCTTTCTTGTCTATCATGTTTGGAAGTTATACACAGTGACTGTAGATGTAGGTGTTGCACAATGGAATTCCCAATGGCTTTATTGGCATAGTTGTCAGTTGACCAAAATAGGATACAAGCTTTCAAAGCTTTCCTGTAAGAGAAGAATAATCCTGATGAAAAATTTGCCCACAAAAATGAGAAAAGTAAACTATGGAAATATAAGCCTAGTATTATAAACACTACCTATAAATCCCTTGGGTATCATTGTTCATGGTTCATGAATTTTATGGGTCAACATTATTTGCACCTGAAGGTTTGATAATCTGGTGACCAAGAACACACAGTTGATACACTGTCAGGTGCCGCAAATGTTATTTAAAGTGGGACAATGGAATTAATCTTAAGAGACTGATTAGCAACCTTAGTCAGCAACAAATTCATTCCTAAGTTCAATTATTAAGTCTCTAATAGCTGAATTGTCTTCTCTTTCACTGTTTCATACAATGTAGGATTGTCTCAGTAAACGTTATGATATTACAACAAAAGCACTTGACCTCTCTGATTTGTTTCACGATGAAGGTACGTTACACTTGTACTTCTGTGACTGTATGCCAGTTATGTCTTATCTAAAGAGTTGCATGGAAAAATACCATAAATGACGTCTGACTTTTTCTGATTCTCCTTCCACACATCTTTTAATTCTTTGTAAAACATTAGGAGAATGAAATAATGCATCAAAAGTAAGGTTTTTTATTTTAAAATAAGGCTTAAGTCCAAGCCTCACTTATAGTTTGAAATGTCACATATGAGTGTGTTTTTGAATACCCTGTTATTTCCCATGCCAAATCCTTACATAGTGAAAAATAAATGCATATGAGGAAGTTGAATTGTACTGAGTGTGCAGAAAGTTTACATTTAATGCATATTATTTGCAGTTTTTCATTTGAATTATACAAGCACTGATGGATTTGACACAAACCTAAAACAGAAATTTCACAATTGTACATGGACAAGATTGTGGAGTGAATTTTTTTCCATTTTAAAAAGTTTCTTCGTGCTTATTTATTCCAAATTTCTTACAAAATCATTTGGTTACCTGCACTGTATAGCTATTGTGTTACAATGCATAGCATTAGGATAACTTTGCACACACAAATCTTTATTATCTTGTCCACCCACTATGTCATTCAGCATTTTTTTGTCATTCAGCATTTTTTCAAACCTTCTTTAGCTTTTGTAGTGCTTGGCAAAAAAAGCTTTATTCATGGTTAGTAATGTATGATAACTGCCTTGTTCAATTTTTGTAAATTCTCCCACAAAGGATGTGTAAGAAATGTAAAACAGCAGTCTCATATAATTATGTATAATCATGGCAGTTATGTCTATTTTACTTCTAACAGTGCTGAAATTAAATAATATACAAGGAATACTGGCAAGATATTGGCTGGCATCAGGAATTGTGAAAATTATTGGAGAGAACTGCCCTGAGGTGATTATTCAAAATTTATCAGTTTATTAGATACAAAATGAACTAGATTGAAGGACAGGTTCTGGAAAGTTGAGGAGAGTGAAAAATTCACTAGGTGAGATAAGCAAAACTTGAGTTCTACACTAATATGGCATGTGAAATGTCTGTCTTGTGAAACTGCTTGCTTAGAAAGCAGATTGGTTCTTTGGGGTCAGTTGAGCCCTGGTTTAGAGACAGAAGAAATAGGGTGTGATTCAATTTCCTTTGTATTCACTTGTGGTTATTTATGCTTAGTGAGCAATCTGCAATCATTATACATATATGTCAACAGAAGAGTTTGGAGATTGTGCATTTAATCAGCAAGTAGTAAACAAAGTTACATCACCATCACCATTTGTTTACCTCTGTAAATATTTCCCATGTCATTCGTTCAATGTAGGTTCAGTCACTTGACCTAAGTAACAATCGACTGAAGAGCTTGGATGGCTTTAAGGACCTTGGGAAGGAAACATCAAACTTAAAGCACATCAAGATCTCCAATAATCAAGTCAGTAGCATTATTCTTAAGGAGTTTGTAACCATTACCTCTTCAGTTATTATGTTTGTGTGATCTTGAATACATGTATATAAAGTGATTTCTCTTTTTATCTCTGGTTCAGCAAAAGAACTATGTGGAAAGTCACAGAAACTCTGGCTTAATTTATTCTTTGTTTGAAAATTTTTCAAACCAATTTTATTTTTAATATCCTTTGCCTTTTTTCATGTTTATTGTAATTTGAAACAAAAGAAATTCAGAATCTAACTGGCTTGAGAAATTTAAAACCAAGAAAAATGTATTAAGTTACATTAAAAAAATTATCCAAAAATACCATGTTTCTGTGATTGTGCAAAAGCCATTTGCAGAAAATATCTTAACAACCTCCTCTCATTTTTCTGTGTGTTAATGGTTTAGAAGCTGTTTAAATATTAATTTTAAATTTAAGCATTGCGTTAAAGAGTTAGGACACATTTATACCATAATTTAGAACCAAGTCTTATCCCCTTGTGCAAGTTTTTTTAATCCAGTTGACAAATTGAATTTTTCCAATTGCACTTAGAGGTGGAAAGTGCTACATGTTACATTGTATAACTAGCATTTATTCACAGTTTTCAAATTATTTTAGCTGAGAGCTGTAGAAGAACTGGACAAGATAAAGTCCTTGAGTCAGCTTCAAACCATTTCACTTGATGGAAATCCTCTTTGTGATATATTTCAAGACAAACAAAATTCATATATCAGGTATGTCTTGCTAGTCCATCAGCTTCAACTAGAATGTTATTTTTGTTAACCATTTTTTGATTTTCTGTTGCCAAATGGCCACTTTGACAAACCTTGTGTTTGGAGCAATGCATAGTAAATTTCCTACCTCTTGAAAATTTACTTGTTTTAAGTGTTCAATTCACATGGAACTGGGCTTACTGTATGAAATTTGAGATCACTGTAATTTTTAACTCAACAAAGTTTTATTCAATAAGTGTAAAGTCCATCCTTCTGCTAACACTCTACATGTAGCTCTAGGGTCAGCAAGCAAACCCAGCCTTTACTTCTCATGGGATTATTCCATAAAAAGCTTTCATTGATTATTATCAGTTAATATCAGTCTAACAGTACATTTGCTGTGTTGTATTTAGTGCTATCAGAAGCAGGTTTCCTAAAGTAACCACTCTGGTAAGGGATATGTTCTTTTTTTACTCACTGTATGTTCAAATGATTACTATCTTTTAGTTTTGTCCAAATTTAATTGCAATGCCTGTGGAAATTTACTTTGTTTTGATATATATTTTAAAAAAATCCCAATTATCTTCAGTTACTAATTAAGAAGATTAAGCAAATGATTGCTTGTTACAAAATACCAAACAATAGCTATACACTGAATAAACCCAACAGTTTTATTTCACATTGCAAAAGTTATTTACTCCTTGGGTAAAATTTGGTTTTCATTTACCTCTGTTTACATGTAATTTCTTTGCCATTCTTGGTAATGTAAGCATGGTTTTTCTTGTGTAACTATGGGATTTTGTCTACCTGGTAATGTATGTTGTGCAA